TTTATTTATAATTCATTTTTTATTAATTGATATTTTTTTTCTTCATTTTTTGTTATTTTAACTTACACTTAATAAAAGCTATTTATTTGTTTTACATTGTAATATTTTTAATTATAAAAGTTAATTTAAACATTAAAGTTCTTTTAATTTAATTGATTTGTTTTCCTTTTTCTATTTTTTATGATTTCTTATTTTTTCATTCTTTGTTAATTTTATTAATTTTTAATTAATCTTATTATTTCATATTTTTTGTTCATTTTTTCCTTCTAATTAACTAGAGTGAAATACCTATTTAATTTATATCTTAATAAAATTATAAATAAAGCTAATTTTTAGAAAGTATAACATAACTTTTTTTTTGAAAAAAATAAATTTTGAAAACCTAAGATGGAAAAAAATTCATAAAAAATTTTTAAAATCTTAATTTTATAAAATGTAAAAACTGGTTAATAAAACTCGATTTTTGTAAATTTTTATGGTAACTTACTCTATTTAATGACATATTTTTTCTTTATTTTTTCCTTCTAATTAACTTTTTAATGATATATTTTTTCTTCAATATTTAAAAAAGGTCTAAAAAAATTGGTGCAATTGGCGCATCAGGCTTAAGTTCTGCTTTAGCAAATTGCATTAATCTCTTAAATTTGACACTTAACCTTTTGTAAAAATAGTTTATTTTTCTTGGATTGTGATATTTTTATTTATAAAAACTAATTAAAAACAATAAAGCTCTTTTTTCTTTTTCTTTTTATTGTGCTTGCTTTTTTTGTTCTTTCTTTCTTTGTTAATTTAGCTCATCATTTTATTTTAAACTTTTGCTTTTATTATTTATTTCTTATTATTTCATATTTTTCTTCATTTTTTCCTTCTAATTAACTATTTAAAGATATATTTTTTCTTCAATATTTAAAAAGTGACAATTAAATTGGTGATAAATGTGTATCAGGCTTAGGTTCTGCTTTAGCAAATTGCATTAATCTCTCAAATTTGACACTTAATCTTCGGTAAAAACAATTTATTTGTTTTGTATTGTGATATTTCTAATTATAAAAACTAATTAAAAACAACAAAGCTCTTTTTTCTTATTCTTTTTATTGTGCTTGCTTTTTTTGTTCTTTCTTTCTTTGTTAATTTAGCTCATCATTTTATTTTCAACTTTTGCTTTTATTATTTATTTCTTATTATTTCATATTAGTTCTTCATTTTTTCCTTCTAATTAACTATTTAATAATACATTTTTTCTTCAATATTTAAAAAGTTGGAATTAAATTGGTGATGAAGGTGCATCAGGCTTAGGTTCTGCTTTAGCAAATTGCATTAATCTCTCAAATTTGACACTTAATTTTTAGTAAAAATAGTTTATTTGTTTTGGATTGTGATATTTGTAATTATAAAAACTAATTAAAAACAACAAAGCTCTTTTTTCTTTTTCTTTTTATTGTGCTTGCTTTTTTTTGTTCTTTCTTTGTTAATTTAGCTGATCATTTTATTTTCAACTTTTGCTTTGATTATTTATTTCTTATTATTTCATATTTTTTCTTCAATATTTAAAAAGTGGAAATTAAATTGGTGATGAAGGTACATCAGGCTTAGGTTCTGGTTTAGCAAAATGCATTAATCTTTCAAATTTGACACTTGACCTTATGTAAAAATAGTTTATTTGTTTTGGATTGTGATATTTTTAATTATAAAAACTAATTAAAAACAATAAAGCTCTTAGAATTTATTTGATAGCTTTATCTATTTTATTTTTTTATCTTTTTATTCCACTAAAATTATTTTATTTATTAATTTAAAGAATAATTTTTAATTTAAAAGTTTATTCTATTTTGATATTTATTTTAAAATTTATTATAAAAGTTTTGGCTCAATGAATGAATCATAAAAGTTCAAATTATTAAGCAAGTTTCTTAAATTAAAAAGATTAGTTATCTTTGATTTCTAATGATAAAAAATAGGTGAAAAAAGGATGAATAAATAAATATAAAATGTTTGAATAGTATTGTATATTTAATTATATAATATTTTGAAAAAGTGTTTTAAACCTAAAATATAATAGATAGATAGATTTTATTATTGATTTTATATTTATAAATATCATTCATATTTTTGTAAGTAAATAAATTATCTATAAAAAATAAAAAAATAAAATTTACTAAAATAAATTAAATCCTCAAAAGCAAGCCCTTTGGTTTCTCCAAAAATGATCAAATAATTTGAAACTTTTAGTGTTATATTACATTTTTTTAATTATATAAATGCTAAACTTTTATATGCCAGTTATTTTTTAATCTTAAATATTATCAATCAATCATATTTCAATCCTTTTTTTATTTATCATGATTAATTAATTAGATGCCATGATTTAAATAAAACCTCAGGGAGAAATCAAGTTTTACTTTTTATTTTAACTTTTGTGGTTGGTATTAATGTTTTTTTTTTTCTCAAATTTTAAATTTATCTTATGATTATTTTTTTCATTTTATATTTTTTAAAATCATAAAATAATTGTTTTTTAAATTATCAATTATTGATTCAGACAATACAAATTTATGTTTAGAATAAATTAATGAATTTAAAAGTCGTTAATGTTGAATTTTGCTTTTCATAACTTTTTTCATATCAAGAATTTATGTAATTTTTTTTTAATCTAGTATTATAAATTTTAAAATGCTTATTTGTTTGATTTTTATTATAAAATGTTCTCTAAATATTCTAGAAAAATGCAAATCGGAGGTTTGGAGGTTTCGCTTTATCTTATCTATGGGCACTTTTGAAATAAATATGTACGCATTAGCAAAAAAATGCAAGATGTGAAAATGGATGCTGAAAATGATCTATGTTTTTGGAGTCAATCATTAATTTTTTTTTTTGATATTTTAAATTTACTTTAGTGGCTCTATAAAAAAATTTAGTTCATTTTTTTCTATGTATTTATTTATTTACTTACTTATTTTGAATGAAATATTTTAATCAAATAAAAAAAAACAAACATTAATTAATTAATTAATTTTCTTTTTTAATATGTATTTATTTTTTATGAATGAAAGATTTTAATTAAATAAAAAAAAAAACAATAATCAATTTATTTTCTTTTTTTTTCAACCGGCCCCGGACCAAATCTAAAAAATTTTAAGTATGCCCCGTGGGGCAGTTGTCGCATTATATATTATATATTTTTATTCAATTAGATTTAATTACTTTTTTGAATTTTCTTATTTCTACTTAGCTTAGCTTAGCTAAATAATTAATTAATTAAAAACGAATGTATGTAATTAAATGCCATTCACTAATATAGTCGTTTACAAACGACGAAATTTTTGAATGGCATTTTGCTATATTTACCTTAAGACATCAAATTTAATGTAATTTGATTAGTTATTTAAAATAAATAATGATTAATTAACCTATAATTTAATAAAAGTAATTTTAATTTAAAAAATAATTAATTAAGTTTGCTTCAAGTTCAAAAAGAAAAAAATAATGTAGTAGAAAATAATATATTTTTCTAATCTAAAAAATGTAATTCAATATTTTTATTTTTACAAGTTTAAATATTTATTTTAATATTAAAGTTTACAGACTCTGAATAATTCTCTTACACAGATCTGTAAATTAGTTTAAGGTAATAATAAAAGCTATGATAATTTTAATAAATCTTTCAGAGAACATTAGTCATGCAAAAGTTTTGAATAATTAATTTTTGTTAACTAACTTTGATTTTTTGTTATTTATTTTTCTTCATTATTTTATTTATATAAATTTTTTTACTTTTTATTTATTTTTGAGCTTTTTCTTTCATTGAATTCTTTATATTTATTTTTATCTTTTATATATCTTTCGAAAATTTATTCATTTTAATTTACTATTATTTCTTAATATTAAAGGGAAAATTAAATTGGTGATTAGGGCATATCACCTTTGAGTTCTGCTTTAGCTCAGTGTAAAAATCTCTAATATTTAATACTCGATCTCTTGTAAAAATAATTTATTTTTTTTATAAGCAATTTTTATTTTTATTATTATTAAAATTTACAATTTCTTAACTAAAATTAATAAATAATATAAAATATTTAGTTTATTTATATAAGACTTGAATATATATGTTGCATATTTAATCTAATTTTTTAGGATTAATGTATTAGTCTATTTATTTGCTTATAGGCTGACTTAATTATTTATTCTTACAATATTTTCTATTAGTTTTTTTTAAAAGCTTACTCACTAATTTATCAAAAAATTAAAAGTTACAATTCAATAAGTGATGAAGGCACACCATTTTTAGGTTCTGGTTTAGCTAAATGCGAAAATCTTTCAATTTTGACTCTCTATCTTTGGTAAAAATAATTTACTTAATTAAGCATTAAATTAATTAATTAGTTTAAAGAAAAAATGTCAAAAATTTATATTTTAATTTATTAAATTGATTTCTTCAGTTTATTCAATTAATATTTGTTTCTTATATAAAATTCTAATTTAAATTTACGTTTACTTACAGTTGATTTATTTTTTATTGATTAAAATATTATATCTAACTATAAAAAGCGAAAATATTATTGGCGAAAAAGGCATAACAGCTTTATTTTTAGGTTTATCTGAATGCATTAATCTCTCAATTTTGAAATTAGACCTCCAGTAAAAATATTCATTTATATTTTTTGAAACTATAGTTTATTATTGTTGATTTTTTTAAAATCAATATAAATGTATGGATAATTATAAATTATCTAATTATTTTAATAGATTCCACCCAATCTTCTACTTTTTCCCATAAAATTTATAGTTTCTGATTAATTATCGCATTCCCAAATAATAACCACTAATAGTAATTCCAAATACTCTAAGCTTTTATTAATTAACACCCATTTATATTAACACCCAATTTTTTTTTTTGGAAAATTTTATGGGATGTTCACCAAAATAAACTTTTTAATTAATAATTTATCAATATAACAAACACTACAATATATTTATTATAGTAAATTTATTATAATTTATTCATTTCTAGCTCTACTTTATTATTTCAAAGATATTTCAGTTATAACATGAGATTTCTTTTGATATTTTAACTTGTCCTTAAAATTTATATTTATTTTTTACTTTTTAATTAATTTTAAAATAATAATTAGGTAAAATAAAATGGGTGATATCGGTGCTTCAGCTTTAGGTTTATGTCTCGCTTAATTAAGAAATATCACAGATTTAGCACTCAACCTTGGGTAAAAAATTTATTTCCTTTTGTTGGCATTTTACCTTAATATTATTTTGATATTAATATATTTCTATTGAATGTTAATAGGTCAAATTAAATTGGTGAAAAGGGTGCTTCAGATTTGGGTTTTGGTTTATCTAAGTGCTCCAAACTCAAAATTTTGAAACTCGAACTTTAGTAATAATACTTATTTGTTTTTTAGCACTTTTTTTTATTCTTAATTAAGTTAAACAATTAACTAAAAAATAAATGAATTAATCTTAATATTTTTAAGTATTAAATTAATTTTTTAGGATGGATTAAATATTTACTTTCTAAAACATATTTTTTTATTTTATTGAACTAAAACTTCATTTTTATTTTAAACTTTTCATTTGATTTATGCATTTTAAGCATATCTATTTATCATAAATTTCTTTTGTTTTAGCTTGCAAATTTTTATTATTTTTGTTATATTAAAAGCTTTAATTAAATTGGTAAAAAGGGTGCAAAAACCTTAGGCTTTAGTCTAGCTTTATGCGTTAATCTAATTTCTTTCACGCTAAATCTTGGGTATAAATACATTTTCTTTTATTAACATCTTTTTGTTGTAAATATTAATTTTTATAAATATTTAATTCATAAATTAATTAAGAAAACTTAAAAACTTTATTTTTACTTTTATTGTTCATTTTAAAAAATATGTTTTCTTAATTCTATTTATAGATTATTTTGCTATTTAAACAAACATTTATAAAATAAATAGGAGTAATTACATTGGAGATGAAGCCCTCTCAGGGATGACATTTTTTTTAAGTTAGCGTACAAATCTTTCATCTTTAACACTTCATCTTTGGTAAAAATAATTTATTGATTCATTTGTTTTTATTAAAATTTGATGTAATTTTATTTTTAATACTGAAAAACAATCAATCAATCAATCTAAAAATTATTTATTAATAAAATTGCTAAATTTTTGATATTATTTGTCTTTACGCTAATAATTTTGCTTGATTGTCTCTTTGCACTAAATTAATCATTAAATTATTATTTAATTTAATATTGAATTTTATTTTGCATTTTAATATTGTTTTACTCCTAATTCTTTGATATTAACTCTGATATTTATGTAATACTAATAGGCGAAATAAAATTGCTGATGATGGTATTTCAGAACTTGCTTGTGCTTTAGCTCTTTGCTGTAATCTGCAAAATTTAATCCTCAACATATAGTAACTAACATTAGTCTATTTCTTAATAAAATTAAATTTACTAATATCGTTAATTTAAATATTCTCAATCAATATAAAAATGAATTAGTAAATTGGATTAATTACTATATATAACTTTACATATTAAAAATGTTTTATTTAATTTTGGCTTTCAATAACTCACTTAAATTTGTAATTTGTGTTATTTTTTATTACTTTAAAACTCTTCTTATTTGATTTTCCTTTTTTTTTTCCTAACTTTTTTCAAAGTAACAATATAATATGTTTTTGCTAAATATTAAAAGATTGAATCAAATTAATGATAAGGGTTTTTCATCTCTAGCTTCTGGTTTATCTCGATGCAAAAATCTTTCAAGTTTTTATTTCTACATTTGGTAAAAATAATTTATTTGCTTTTATTTAATAATTTATAAAGTAAAAAAATTGATTCTTAACAACTATTTTTTGTTAAATTACATACATGTATTTAACTTATTCTAAACTAAAAAATTCATTAATTTTTTTAAACTATTATTTTGCATTTTAACATTTATATTTAATCTAATTTGTTTATATTATTCCCTCATAAATATTTTACAAATAATAAAAGGGGTAATAAAATGAATAAGTAGGGTGCATCAGCATTGGGTTCTGCTTTATCTCAGTGCACCAATCTCTCAACTTTGAAACTTGATTTCTTGTAAAAAAAGTTTATCGACTTTTATAAAATTTATTTGATTTCTTATTTAATTAAGCAAATAACTAAAAAATTAAAAATCAAGCAAAACTCATAAAATATTTATATTATTTTAATATTTAGTGACTTGCTCTTATTTTAAATTCATTATTTATTTTGTTTATTTCCTTATTAATCTTTTATTTTTAACTCATTTTTTTTTCTTAAATTTCTTCTTTTTATTTTGCATGTAAACTTACAAATTTATTTTAAAACTATAAAAGCGAATCAATACTAAATGATAGTATATTAGACTTTGCCTCTGGTTTATCTCACTGTAATAAACTGTTAACTTTGAAAATTGACCTAAGGTGAAAAAAAAATTTGTTTTTCTTTTAAATTTCATATTTTATTTTTTTAAGATTTGGCAAACAAAAATCTAACTAGCCAACTAAAAAATAAACGCAAACCGCTTAAATTATTTATTGATTATATTTTAAATTCATAATTTTATTTTATTATTTTTAGAATTGATTACTTAATTAATTATTTTTTAGTTTATTAATTTTTATATTTTAATTTATTATTTCGGCTATGATTCATTCAATTTAAAATTTTGTTCTCTTTATTTATTTATTTATTTTATAATAAATTTATCTAAATTTTTTTGTTTCAAATAATTAAAAGATGGAATTTTTTAAAAGATGAAGCCTTATAAGATTTGGGTTCTAGTTTGGCTTGTTGCTCTAATCTTTCAAATTTGACCCTCTATCTCTAGTAATAATACTTTATTAACTTTTTTATCAACTTTTAATTATCAAAAACATTAAATTTAAATTAATTGACAAAATTCTACTTCTAATTGAGCAAATATATATATATATATAACGCGTTTTTATTTGATGTAAGTAAAATAATTACTCAAATGCGAAAAGTTGCATAAAATTAGTTTTATATGTAACCAAATGATAAATAAAATTTTATTTACCTCAAATTTAATAAAAATATAAATTTTTTTAATTTTTAAAAATACTTCACCAATTTATTTCTAAAAAGAAAGAATTTTTTATGATTTACACTTTTTTTCAAATCAATAAATAATCCTTCTTTTTATTGATTTATAAATTATCATTTCTACTCATTTAATTATATTTTTTTTTGACTCAACTAAATTAATTAAAAATATTTTTTTATCAATTCAAATTTTTAAAAATACAATTATTGAAAGGGAAATTTTTCTGACTACATCCAACTGCTAATTTATTCTTCGAAATTGCTCATCGACAAAAATTATATAAAATGCTTCCCATATTTGATATTTCAAGAATAATAGAAATAAATATACTGAATATGAGGAAAAATTATAAAATATTTTTATTATCAATTTTATACTTGTTTTTTTTCTGTATATATTATTTTTTATTAATAAATCATTCATTCATTCATTTATTTGATCTTATTACTAAAATTAATATTATTTTTAAACATAAATTTAAATATTTATTATAAATTTCTATTTTGAATGTTCTATTAACTATTTTAAAATCAACTGATTTAAAATTAAAAGGTTGAACTCACAAACTCAATTAGGGGTATAATTACTTTGTTCTAGCTTAGCTAAAAGCAATAATCTAAAAACTCTGACAATTGGAGCCTCGTAAAAAATATTTATTTGCTTTTTATTTATGAAAATATATTTTGGAAAGCAAATTTAAATTAGTAAAAAATCTTTCTAAATTTTTATTCTTTCATATTTTGATTATGACTAATTAATAAAACTTGATTAATTTAACTTTTAATCATGTTTTTATCTTTAAATTTGCCTTGAAATTTTCACTTCATTTTATAGTTTTTATTAAATAATACTAATTTTCATTATTATTTATTTCCAAAATTAAAAAAGGTCTCGATTTTATCAACGGAATTTGTCAATTATAAATAGAAATACTTTTAAAATGAAGAGACTAGTAAATATATTTTGAATCAAATGAGTATAAAGAAAATAAATATGATATTTTTTTAATTTTCTTTAATAAAAAATATTAAACTAAAATAAATAAATAAATATATGAAATTAAAGATGTATTTTCATATTTTATATTTCAAAAAAGAAGTTTATAAAAATAATTTTCAAATTTATCTATTCGAATGTGAATAAGAGTTTAAAAATTTACATATTATTCATTTAAAAATAATTAAAAGTTATATGCTATGAACAAAAGACTTAACTTCAAACTAAATATGTTATTAATGTTAGTTAAAATTTTATTAATTTTATTTTTGTTTAATAGCTTTATTATTCAATTTAAAAACGGGATTTTTGTTAAAACTTTAAATTAGTAAAATTAATAACATCAAAATGATTACTAAATTAAAAAATTAATAAAAAAGATATTCATTATTAAAAAATATTTAATATTTTTACAACACAAAATTATGTTTACTTATTTATTTAATGATATTTTAATTGCAATAAATTAACATAAATATATAAATTAGAAAATTACCATTAATTTTTATATAAAAACTTTACTAATTTTTTTCTTTTGATCTGTATTAAAAATTCAGATATGAATAGTATTAGGACACTGAAAAAAAGATACTGAAAATTATGACAAAAATAGCTGATCTCATGAGTCTTTTCATGAGAGAATCATTAGAGTTAAACGCCTTTTTTATTTATTTTAGATAGGCTATACTAATGAATATTTAATTAAAATAAATGTATACAGATAAATGGGGGGGGGGGTCACAGCAGGGACCCATTCATTTTGAATGAAAAATTTCCATTCAAAAAAAAATAATTTAAGAATAAAAGGAATAAATACCTAAATAGGCACAGTAAATATTTGATAAAATTAATTAATAGTAAAAAAAAGCAGTAAAAAATTATAAAATTTAGTTTATATTTTGTAAAAAGTTATAAATTAATTGTAAATTATATCATAATTAATTTTAAAGCATAATTAATTTGACAAGGATGCTTAGTTTATTCTATAGAACACCAACAAGAAAATTTTAGAAAAAGATAAGAAATCACAGTAAAAAAAAGTGGAAGTATTTTCTAATCTGCCGAAATTTCTCTATAAAAATAAAAAATATTAGAATAATTTTCAAATTCTAAGCTTTGGAATGGTGTTAGCTACTAAAAAAGTAAAGCTTGATAACAAATAAATAGTGTTAAACATACAAAAATAGAAGATGAATAACAAATCTAAAATGAAATTATTATTATGTAGAAATTAAAAGAGCCACTAGTGGTATAGCTTTATAATAGCTATATAATAGAAAATAATATAGGACCCGATAGAAACTCAGTATTTCAATTAAAAAAATGTTAATGTAATTTGTTAAATCCTTAACATTTATTTAATTTAGCTTTCAATTAACTATTAAAAAAGATATTTTTTGTAAAATAAAAATCAAATTTTAAGTAAATAAATAAACAAATAAGTAAATACATTTTCAGTTAAATAGAATTTAATTGGTTTTTAAATTTTTAATTTATAAATTGTAAAAATAATTATTTTTAATTAGAATAGTTATCTTACTTTCATTATAAATTACTCAATTAATAAATTTGAAACATTTTTGATATAAAAACGATTTTTAAAAAATATATTTCATTACATCTAACATATATCTTTTAAAAGGTTCATAGATGAATATCTTGATAGATAAAAAAAAGATGAATAATAAACCGAAGATGATATATTTTAAATAGCAATCTAAATTATAGATTCTGTCAATTACATTCATTAATTTAATATCATTCATAGAGATATTAAACCATAAAAATTTTTGGTTTATTTAGATGGAAAATAAATAAGCAGAAGTCAAGTTATGTAAATTATTTTTATTCATAAAGTATTTTTCATTATCTTTGATAATAGGGTGATTTCGGCTTATCTACTTAGATTCCAGTTAATAAAGACTCAATACAAACTATAGAAGTAGATTTTTAATTCTATATAAAAATGTATATTAAATATTAAAAATAACTTAATAGCACATAGGAAATTTAGGATATTCAGCACCTGAAATATTAAATAAAAATGATAATGAACTATATATTATACAAAGAAAGTACTTTTTTTTTTAAAAAATTTTAATTTTAAATTAATTTTTATTTTATTTTGATTCATATTCAGTAGGATTATTGCTGGCTTTATTAGGTAATTATTAAGATCTGAAAGAAAATACAATTTCAATTTTCGCATTAATGACACAAAAGCAGTTAGATAAGCCTTTCGAAAAATCTAATATTTAAATAAACAAAAATTAATAAATTTATTAACCTTCTTGTTGTTTCTGATAGCGCTTAAAGGCATTTCTGCATGATATTGTTGAATAAAGTGATAAAAATTCTTTTTTAATTAAAAAAAATGAAGTAAATTGTACAAAAAACTCTTTTGATACAAAATGATAAAAAAAATAGAATAAAATAAGACTATATTTGTATAAAGCTTAAAATTACAATATTTTTAAGATAGATTTAAGGTAATTTTTTCTTTTAGATTTATAATTTTAATATTTCATTAATGGCCAATTTTACACTTTTAACTAGGGATTTAAGTGAAATTTGGTTTATCCCTAATTAAAATAAATAATAATACTAACACCATATATTTTTAAGATTAAATTATATATATATTTACTATTAAATGATCATTCCATATAAATTAACAAATGGCGCTACAAATAATTTAGTATAAAAGAAACATATTTAATGCAGTTAAATAGACACTTTAAAAGTACTTATATTAAAATAAAAAAAAATAATTAAATTATTTTATAAAATAAATAATAGATTTCATCAAAAATCAGTTTTAGTTTTTAAAATAAAATTAATTTATTGATACTAATAAAGTAATTAGGACTGATTATTTTATATTAAAAATTATTTAGCTTGCAATTTTTTTTGTCTAGGGAAAAATAGAAAATATTTTAATTTGCATTAGATTGTGATTTTATTATATTAATCAAATAGATAATATTACTATTATCAATTAGCTTTAAATAAAAAAGATGTTAGTATATTTGTAGATCAGTAAGTAGGCACTTTGATTAATTGAAAAGATATTTTGATAAGAATATTCTTTTCAGATAATCAAAATATCTTTAAAGATCTTTAGTGTTTTTGCTTTCGCTCTATATTTAATTGCTATCACAAAAATGTACAGTAAAATCTGTTAGATTTGGAGCTAGTTAAAATTACACAAAAGTTCTGGTACCAAATTTAACTTTTTCATTAAAAAATCTGTAAATAAGTTGGAAATATTTGCGTTTTCGAAAAAATATTCCTTTCTATAGGTTACTGCGTTAACAGGCTTCACTGTAAACACATATATTTAGATTAGTGGATAGAATCTTTGATTAGATTAAATTAACAAATAAAAAGTAAATTATGATAAAAACCATACAATCCTTTCATTTAACAAAAATATTAATTAAGAGGACTTTTAGTCTGTTTTTCCTTTCACGCTATTTTATGTAATAAAAAGAAAAGTTATTAGTATATTTAGATGATATTACAGACAGAATAGGTGGTTTGTATAATCCAATAAATTTGATTAATTGAAAAGATTTTTTGATAACAATATTCTTTTCAGATAATCAAAATATCTTTAAAGATCTTTAGTGTTTTTGCTTTTGCTCTATATTTAATTGCTATCACAAAAATGTACAGTAAAATCTGTCAGATTGGAGCTAGTTAAAATTACACTTAAGTTCTGGTCCCAAATTTAACTTTTTCATTAAAAAATCTGTAAATAAGTTGGAAATATTTGCGTTTTGGAAAAAATATTCCTTTCTATAGGTTACTGCATTAACAGGCTTCACTGTAAACACATATATTTAGATTAGTGGATAGAATCTTTGATTAGATTAAATTAACAAATAAAAAGTATATTATGATAAAAACCATACAATCCTTTCATTTAATAAAAATATTAATTAAGAGGACTTTTAGTCTGTTTTTCCTTTCACGCTATTTTATGTAATAAAAAGAAAAGTTATTAGTATATTTAGATGATATTACAGACAGAATAGGTGGTTTGTATAATCCAATAAATTTGATTAATTGAAAAGATATTTTGATAAGAATATTCTTTTCAGATAATCAAAATATCTTTAAAGATCTTTAGTGTTTTTGCTTTCGCTCTATATTTAATTGCTATCACAAAAATGTACAGTAAAATCTGTCAGATTTGGAGCTAGTTAAAATTACACAAAAGTTCTGGTACCAAATTTAACTTTTTCATTAAAAATCTGTAAATAAGTTGGAAATATTTGCGTTTTGGAAAAAATATTCCTTTCTATAGGTTACTGCATTAACAGGCTTCACTGTAAACACATATATTTAGATTAGTGGATAGAATCTTTTGATTAGATTAAATTAACAAATAAAAAGTATATTATGATAAAAACCATACAATCCTTTCATTTAATAAAAATATTAATTAAGAGGACTTTTAGTCTGTTTTTCCTTTCACGCTATTTTATGTAATAAAAAGAAAAGTTATTAGTATATTTAGATGATATTACAGACAGAATAGGTGGTTTGTATAATCCAATAAATTTGATTAATTGAAAAGATATTTTGATAAGAATATTCTTTTCAGATAATCAAAATATCTTTAAAAATCTTTAGTGTTTTTGCTTTCGCTCCATATTTAATTGCTATCACAAAAATGTACAGTAAAATCTGTCAGATTTGGAGCTAGTTAAAATTACACAAAAGTTCTGGTACCAAATTTAACTTTTTCATTAAAAAATCTGTAAATAAGTTGGAAATATTTGCGTTTTGGAAAAAATATTCCTTTCTATAGGTTACTGCATTAACAGGCTTCACTGTAAACACATATATTTAGATTAGTGGATAGAATCTTTGATTAGATTAAATTAACAAATAAAAAGTATATTATGATAAAAACCATACAATCCTTTCATTTAATAAAAATATTAATTAAGAGGACTTTTAGTCTGTTTTTCCTTTCACGCTATTTTATGTAATAAAAAGAAAAGTTATTAGTATATTTAGATGATATTACAGACAGAATAGGTGGTTTGTATAATCCAATAAATAATGAGCAATTACTAAACAATATTTTTATATAACAAAAAATAAAATAAGTCGCTTATTTCTATTACATATACTAAATTTTCAAGCCTGTTATATATGTATATATTATAATTCACAAAAGCATTAAAAAAATTTATATATTGATTAGAATTTAAAAGATTTTATTCATAGTTATTTTCCTTCAAAAGTCTCTAAGTAATACAAATATGTATGCATTTTTTAGTGATATTACCATTATTATTCAGTGATAATTTTTATATAATACAAATCTGTGTTAGTTTTTTTCTCATAAGAAAATGGTAATTTTAGATAATTTATAAAATATATTATAAATTTAAAAAGATACTGTTTATATTGATTGCTATCTTATCTGTTAATAACAATAATCTAAAAATAGAAAGTAGTTAGTATATTTGAAAATTAATTAAGATTTCTTCTTGATTTTAACCAATCTCTCTTGATAGGAGTTTTACTCTAATTTCTTTTATTATTAAGCTGATTCTCCTCTTTATATAGAAGAAAAAAAGTGATTTTGGTATATATAAATTTTACATCTCTACAAAAACCTCTGTTTTTAGTAAAAAAGCAAACCCCCTCAGCCTACTTTAAGTAAGTCAGTACCCCAGTTAACAACCTCAGTCGCATAGCGAAAGTGAATAACCAAATGTCTAAGAAAGTTCAAAACGAGTTAGTCGAAATTATCTCAAGCAAAGTATCCAAAGATTGCTAAATTCAAAAAGTATCAATAAAGGAATTGATCAAGTTAATGTTCAGCTAGAAAAAACACTTCAAAAATTTTGAGTACTTAAGTAGTGGCGCTTATGCTCTTGTCTTAAAAGCTTAGAATTCTTAACAAAATCGCCAAGTAGCTCTCAAATTCTTAGAAAGTACCAACAAAGAGGACAAGGATGGTATCGAATCTATGAAAAAAGAGTATGAAATGCTTCAAAAGTTTAGCCAATCAGAATGTTTAGTAAATGTCTATGATTGTTTCTATTTAATGGAAGAAAAAGATGATGGAAACGACATTATCGTTTAAACTGAAAACAAGTCCTACTTTGTAATGGAAATGGAGCTTTGCGAGAGTAAAAAAAACCATAAATTTTTCATCCATTTTTTTTTTTTTTTCATTTTTTAAGAAACGTGTAAAAATACATAAAATAAGATATATTTATACTTTTTATTGACCTGACCTAGCTTACGCATCACCATTTTTAAAATAGGTAATTTTAATTTTTTTTCTAAGTCTTTTTTTGATTTTGATAGCTAATTAAAAAAAATTAGATTTGCGCTAAGCAGATTTAATTAATTTAGAAAATATAATAGAAATTATTTAATTTAATATAAAAACGTTAATTTTAATTAATTTTTTAGGATTCCCCACCATTAAGACTTTTTCATTTATTTTTAATCAAATTTTGTAAGATTTCTTAATTAAACTTTCTAGAAGATTAATTCATCAAAATTTTATAATCTATTTACCCAATATAACAATTTAATTTTTTAATAAGCAATTTTCATAAATATTATTAATTTATTTATTTATAATATATAAGAAAATAAATTAAAAATGTTATTTGATTTAAAAATTGAATTAATTATTACCTAAAAAATTAATTAGTTTTAACTATCCTCCAAAATTTTTTTTAACTTAAATTCAAAAATAAATATTTAAAAGATATAAAGATATTAATAACTGAAAAAATATAAATTATTTCAATAAAAATTATAATGAGTAAACTATGTAAATTTCTCATGAGAGACTAAAATTAAACAACTTTAATAGTATAAGTAATCCACTTGTGTTGAAATAAATAATTTCTAAAAATATTAAATATTTAGTTAAATAAATAAGATAAATTCTAAAATAAATTACTATAAAATAATCCTTTATTTTTTATAATATAGGTTTAAAAAACAATATTATTAAATAAATTATTTAACTCAAAGCTTTTATTAATAAATAAATGAATAAATCCCATTTCAAAAATTTTATTTTCCTCTCTAAGTTTTTAAAAAATAAAAAATTTTTGCAAATAATTTAAAAATTTAAAAACAAACATTTTTTAAATAAAAATTTAAACATAAAACTAATTTAATTTTATAATTAACTAGATAATCTCAAATAACTCTTTGATTTCCTCAGAAAATTTTAAGTTCCACATCAGAAAAAAATAAAGGAAATAATAGCCATTCAAATGATAGAAGGGTTGAATAACCTTCATGTCAAAAATATTATGCACAGGGATATTAAACCTTAAAATTTCTTTGTTTGCGCCTCTAAGGAATATGGTTTCTCAGTCAAACTTTGTATATAATTATTTTTATATTATTTAATATTTAATAAATATTTTTTAAATTCAGGTGATATTGGCTTTGCATCAGCTGTGTCTAAATCAAAAAGCTTCATGTCAAAGGTTAAAAAATTAATTATTATTTTAATTGGTTTCAATATTTTTTATAATTTTCAGAAAGGAACTGATGCATATTTTGCTCCAGAAGTGGAAGCAGGACAATCTAGAATTCAGGTTTTTAATAATAGTGTTATATAATTTTTTAAAGTTTATTTACATTAAATAGTCAGATCTCTTTTCACTAGGACTCGTTTTATTAGAGCTTGACAATCTCAAAACTCTAAATGAGAATTGGATAGATACTAAAACAAAAAATTATCTATTCAATGGAGAAGAAATACCTAATGAAAAATATTAGATAGATAAGAATTCTAATATTTACAAAATAGCTAAAATATGCTTAAAACCTTGGTATTTAGACAGGACTACAACAGGAGAATTACTATCTTAGCTAATCTAAATGCATGGTTAACCATTGAAATTTGTATTGACTTCTATGATACTAGAGGTAATAAATATATTATTTCAAAATTAATTTATTCAAAATTTAATCTTATTTAATAAGCTAATTTTAAATGTTGCCTAAAAGAAATTAAATTTTATTGAAACTCTTAAAAATATCATTAAAAACAATTTAAAACAAAATATTTTATATTTTCTTAACAAATTGGATAAAATAAAAATAATGTTATGAGTTTAATAAAATAAGAATGGCTTATCTGCAACAAAATTTTTTATTTTAAAATAAAAAACACATCATTTTTAAACTATCAAATAAAATTTATAAAAATGAAAAAATAAACTTATTATTTCTTTTATTATTGACCTAAATATATTGTTATTTTCCTCAATAGTTAGTAAAAAAAGAAGTTTTATTTCATAATAAATTTTTTTATTACATTAATCTCTCAAAATAAAAAAAATTGATTTTACTTTTGGAATATTTGAATTCAATAAATAATTTTATTTGTAATATAATAAAAGGAATAAATACCTAGATAGGCACAGTAAATATTTGAAAAAATTAATCAACTACAAAAACAAACGGTAATTATTTTTAGCTTAAATTTTTATAAAAAGTTATAAATTAAATGTAAATTAAAAAATAATTAATTTAAAGCAAAATTAATTCGACGAGTATGCTAAGTTTATTCTAGAGAACACCAATGACAAAATTAAACAAAAAGATTTTCAAGCACAATTTACAAAAGTGGAAGTATTATCTAATCTGCTGAAAAGTCTCTATGAAAATAAAAAATATACGAATAATTTTCAAATTCTAAGCTTTGGAAGCTTTGGAATGGTATTAGCTACTAAAAAAGCTAAACTTGATAAAAAAGAAATAGTGTTAAAAATACAAAAAATAGAAGATGAATAACATATCTAAAATGAAATTAGTATTATGTAGAAATTAAAAGAGCCACTAGTGGTATAGCTTTATGATAGCTATATAATAGAGAATAAAATAGGACCTGATAGATACTCAGTCTTTGAATTAGAAAAATGCTCATGTAATTTATTAAATTCTTAATATTTATTTTAATTTAGGTTTCAATTAACTACTTATGAAGATATTTTTATCATATAAAACCCAATTTTTAATAAATAAACAAATGAATAAATATATTTTTTTATAAAAAAGAATTTAATTTGTTTTTTAAATTTAAAAAAAATAAAAATTTAATTTATAAATTGTAAAAAGAATTATTTTTAACGAAAATAATTATTATACTTTCATTATTTTGAAAGATTTTTAATATAAAAATGATATTTAAAAAATATATTTGATTACATTTTACTTTTTATTTTGTAAAAGGTTCGTTAGATGAATATCTTGATAGATAAAACAAAGATGGATAATTTAACGACGATGATAAATATTAAATAGCGATCTAAATTATAGATTCTGTTAATTATATTCACTCATTTAATATCATTCATAGAGATATTAAACCAGAAAATTTTTTGGTTTATTTAGATGGAAAATAACCAGAAATAAAATTATGTAAACTATTTTTATGCATAAATTATTTTTCATTATCTTTTAATTTTAAGGTAATTTCGGCTTATCTGCTTAGATTCCAGATAATAAAGATTCAATTCAAGCTATAGAAGTAGATTTTTAATTTTATATATTTAAATATTAAAAATAACTTTATATATAGAGCATAGGTAATTTAGGATATTCAGCACCTGAAATACTAAATAAATAGGATAATGAACTTAAGATTTATTCAAAGAAAGTAATTTTTTTATAAAAATGTTAATTTTAAATTAATTTCTTATTTTAGTCTGATTCATATTCAGTAGGATTATTACTAGCTTTTTTAGATAATTATTAAGATCTGAAGAAAAATGCACCTTTTACTTTCTTATTAATGACAAAAAAGCAGTTCGATAAGCCTTTCGAAAAATCTAAGATTAAAATTAACAAAAATTCAGAAATTTATAAATTTATTAACCTTCTTGTTGTTTCTGATAGTGGTTAAAGAGCATCTCTGTATGATATTGTTGAATAAAGCGATACAAAATTCTTAACTAATTCAAAAGAAATGAAAGAAATTAGATCTATAAAGGATTTGAGCAAAGCTTAAAATTACAATATTGTCACAATAGATTTAAAGTAATATTTTCATTTTAATTTAGATTTTTAATATTTTATTAATGATCAATTTTACACTTTTTAAATCTATTTTGTTGATAATATTTTCTCGTTAAAAATTAGTTTATTAAAGTAAGTAAATTATATTTATATTTACTAACTTAATTTTTTAAATAATTGTAAAATTCTATTATCAAATGAGAAAAAATGTATTTTTGAAAATTTTTTAGCTCTTTTTATTTGTTAAATTAAAAAAAAAATCCTCTTTTTAATTAGATATTTTCGAGTAATTATGATTTTAATAATAAAATTGATGAATTGATTAACTAAATATAATTGCTAAATTTTAAAATATAAAACAGTAAAATAGTTTATTACACAATATTTTTCTTATTTTAAAATATCATATTAGCTTCAAATAAATTTAAATAAAAAAAGCAATAAGGCTACATATTCTTCAAATTTAAATACCTGGATTAGCAATATATAAAAAATGATTATTTTTTTTTAAATTAATAAAAAATTAAAGTTAAAAATAAAAATTAATGATAAATGAATTTAAAAATATAATTCATTCTGATAATTGAGTATAATTCATAAAATTTAAGATTCATTTTTTTTTTTAACCAGTGAATTGTTCATGAAAATTAAATATCTATAAAATTACTTATTTTCTATTAAGATTTATTTTTTAATTCATTATAGTTTATTTATATTTATATAATAGAATTAAGTATTTTTTAATTTTTACATTAATGATACTTAAATAGTAAATGAATTAAGAATTATTAATTTAATGGTTTTAATAATTTTTAATCCTTAAAAAACAAATTAAAATACTAACAAAAGCAACAATATTTTTTTTTATATACTCCTCAAAAGAAAATAATCAATTTGTTAACTTATTTACTTACTTACATACTGAGTTACTTACTCCTTCAAAAACAAACGAACATACTAACAAAAGCAACAATCTTTTTTTACAATCCTTTCTCCTCCAAATTTATTTTCTTAATTCATTATTTATTCTTATATTTAAAGCGATAATAGTATTGGTGCATAGGGTGCAAAAGATTTAGGCACAGGAATAGCGTAGTGCAAGAATATCACAAGTTTGACACTTTATTTAAGTAAAAACTTAATTTATCGATTGATAAAGCAAGAAATTTTGAAAAAATTGATTATTTTGTTGATTTACGCTTTTCACTTAGTGATTAGCTAATTAAGTCACTTCGTTAGTAAGCAAGTTAGAGTTAGTTAGTTAGTTATTTATTTTTTTATTAGATTGCTTTTTTAATAACTTACTTACTTACTCCTCAACTAAAAAATAATCAATTTGTTAACTTAATTACTTAATTACTTACTTACTTACATACTGAGTTACTTACTCCTTCAAAAACAAACGAACATACTAACAAAAGCAACAATCTTTTTTTACAATCCTTTCTCCTCCAAATTTATTTTCTTAATTCATTATTTATTCTTATATTTAAAGCAATAATAGTATTGGTGCATAGGGTGCAAAAGATTTAGGCACAGGAATAGCGTAGTGCAAGAATATCACAAGTTTGACACTTAATTTAGAGTAAAAACTTAATTTATCGATTGATAAAGCAAGAAATTTTGAAAAAATTGATTATTTTGTTGATTTACGCTTTTCACTTAGTGATTAGCTAATTAAGTCACTTCGTTAGTAAGCAAGTTAGAGTTAGTTAGTTAGTTATTTATTTTTTTATTAGATTGCTTTTTTAATAACTTACTTACTTACTCCTCAACTAAAAAATAATCAATTTGTTAACTTAATTACTTAATTACTTACTTACTTACATACTGAGTTACTTACTCCTTCAAAAACAAACAAACATACTAACAAAAGCAACAATCTTTTTTTACAATC